TCAACTAATAATGTCACCCCCGATAGTTTGAATGTCTCAGATTTAGGGTCAGCCGAAAGCTCCGATATTTGTGTTTTGGTAATCGATGCCCGAATCTTTGGGTAGGACAGAATGGCACAAATTTTCGCCTGCGGAGGATAGGGGATAGATCACAAATTTCCCCAGGTAGAAAGTTCAGAGATGTTTGTCGTTTCATTGGGACAATGTACATTATTGTAAATGCCTAGTACCTTTACTCGGTATTCTATAGTTAGTGCTAGTGTTAGTGTTTATGTCTAGTGATGTATCTCTATTTCTCCGAACGAATAAACTCCTAACTTGATAATATCTAGCACAGTGAAACCAGTGTACTATACCAAAAATAGTCATCGCATTACAATCTTCTCATTCCTATTCACCTAGACTTTATTGCTTCCATGGCGCATGCTTATTGCAATGTAGCAAGACTCATATACCTTCGAGTCCTCATTTTTATTCGGATCAAAGAACAACTTCGATGGTTCGTTGTTCGAATCAGATGAAACCCCTAATTATTAATAAGTCTGGAATTTTATCGGGATACAAATGTTAGCCTGAAAAATCAATATTATCTTAAATAAATTTGCAATATATTTATTTATGAACCCTACACACAACCATTCTTGATTAACACATTCATAATTCTAAACAAATACCGACGTTATGTATCTATCTACCTCTGGAAATCAAACCTATCCCATCTTCCATTCTCACTACCCACCTGCAACAAATCTCTAGCTCCTGTCTACCTGAACTATCTTTCCTAGTCATTCAATGTTCTTCCGATGAATGTTCTCCCCCGAGACCCCTGAAGTGGATAGCTCGGATGAATATCCTCCATTCCACTCTCTGACAAGTGAATAGGTAGCTCAAGAGGCTTTTCGGTATCAAGGAAGGAAGATCTGGAATAGATTCAGATTCAGAAAACGGGAAACAGAGCCAAAGATTTGTTCTCAACTTCTGGAGTTGCGCACTAATCACATGGAGTAGAGTAGCAGTTCGCTATCGTGCTTTTAGAACCGCTACATAGCGCAGCAGAGATGGGAGAATCGTGCAGTAATTGATAATGCGTCGCCAAATAGTGACATTGTGTGCATTTTGACATTAGCCCTTGGTAAACAGAAAATCGGGCGAGTGAATTGAGCTTCTAGATCAAGATTTCCATGTTGAAATGGGGGCTTATCGATTCGGTGGGTTATATCTATGTTAAATTTCAATGCAGCACCATCATTGTGATTTAGTCAGCAGTGGAGAATGATGGTACGCGCTTCGTTGGGCAATGGATAAGAGTCGTCTAAATCGCTTGAAATAATACATCTTGATTCTCATATTATTATATCAATATCTACTTCGAGGTTGCAGTGTCCTTTTCTCTACAGCCGGACTGTATTTACCTTCTCTTCCATGATTGAGACTCGAACACTGTAGTTCTTATACAGACAGCGAGGGGTAAAGTTTGAGATCATCCTTAGTCTAATCATCACTCGTTTGATGAACATAGCGAATCTCACAGGAAGCTACTATAAAGTTAAGTTTATTAGGTTGTGAATAGCTTATAATCATGTGGTTTAAAACTCAAAGGTTTTGATAAGCTATTTCCAAGTCACATAAGCTAAACCCAAAACAGACCTTTAAACTTTCAACTATGTACATTCCATATACTCGATTATCAAAGATTGTTTGGGGTCTAGTATATGTAGGTCCCGTACGGACTTTGGTAGAAGTCTGCAATTCGAGTCTTTAAGGAGATGAGGAAACCTCAGAGGGGTTGGGATCGTGTATCGAGTTCTAATATCACCAGATGATTGAACATCAGCCATTTTCATGTGGATAGTTCAAATGAAAGGATGAGTGAGGGGCGTTCGAAAAGGTAAGGGTGTGTAAATGGCGTTTGAGATAAATATCATTGTAGCTTTGTATTTTGCGAGGACGAATCCCTCAAATGTGTTTTGGTAAGAAAGGTCAAGTAGCAGGCGTGTTTTTATCGAGATGAAACAAAATCATTATTTTCGAGTCGATTGGAAAGCGAGAGTGATGAGTGTCTAGGTATCTAGGTATCTAACCCTTACTGACTGGCATATCCAGGACTCCATAAAACGAAAGAGGAAATCGCATTTTTAGTGATTCCCAGCAGTATCATTACTCTCCATGGAAGTGAACGAGAATCCCTGGCATCAGAGATGCAGAAGATGGAGATTAGTAAATATGTATGTGATGATTATACTGTATAGATTTCAGTAGTAAATCAGATTCCGACTTCTAAAGATACGTCGGCAATATTGTGCCATATTGCAGACTTTTGAAAGAGCTGAGGTCTTCAAGATTCTGATGAGAATAGAAGGATAAAGTGGCATAATGGATGTCTGATCAATTTCAATTCAGCTTGGCTGAGTGAGAAGTTGAATGAAGTTCTCTTCTCTTACGTGACTTTGTTAACGACGTCTAATTTTCCTCCGATTTTTGGGCGAGTAATGTTGGAAATTTAATGTCTATTCTCATGGTAAGGGATTCCCTCCTCTCGCAAGTCGTAATTTCTTAGTATAACAGGCGGAAATAGAGGGGGGGATGGATATCGATGTGCTGGCTGTTTAAGAGGAAGCGGTCAGAGAAAAGATATTCTTCGGCTGTCAGGTCATATTTCTAGAAGAGAAACACAACTGTCTTTTTTTTCAAAGTCCTTCTCGCTGTGAATGTCTGAAATTGATAGTTCGTTCATCCGCCTTCCCCTTCAGGATAGATCTTTTGGCTTATCAAACAGGACGACTGAACAGAAGTAAGTTGTTCAGATTGCAATTGAGGAGAGAACACAGGCAGGAATGGAAAAAACTTACAAAATTCCGTATAGTAACTCATTTTCTCAAGGTATGGTATTTATATAATAACCCAACAATACCTCGGAAATGTGTCCGTATTTCTTTCACACACGTGGAGCTGCCGAGATATCACTAGGTTTACTTGTTTCGCCGGCCTATTATGAACTCTCGTTTAAGAGCCATCGAGCACAATATCAGGAGTGTATGGAAGTAAGATTTCAAAAATAGTGTGAATTTAATTCAGTAATGACAGTGGTCTTACAACTAGCTACGATATGACAGACATGATTCGAGGAGATCAAAAAGAAAAAGATCAATATGATAACCAGGATCAGCTTGCAGCGAGAAGTTTTGGTTTACTCAGTGACACTGCAATAGCAAGTCCTATCGAAAACTGCACCAAATAGTGTCTACTGGAATGTTGAAAAGGGTTTCAACTAACTTCGACGCGGTAGCCCCCAAGTCTTCTGGGATCAATCTTGTGTTTACCATTGGTAGGTCCATCTAATGTAATATTCGGAGCGCCATTTCCAGGGGCACCACTTGAACAACGGTTATTTCTCATTCCCGACAACTCTTGAGGATCACTTACGACCAACAGATCAATTTGACTCCGACAGTAGCTTTAATTTCGATACCTTGAATATTGCTTCCAGCTTGTTAGCCAACGAAATTTGTTTGTTGGAAAGGTCCTAACTTACGGACTACCTTCGAGATGGTAGTTGGTGTTGATGTTTGGTTCATGAGTGCGGTCTCCGCCACCCTTAACGTCCCACTTGACCTGTTTTTCATGTTAATCTTGAGCTGTAACTCATAGAAATAAGGGGAAGACAAGCTGCTGGCATACCCAAGCTGTGGATTGAGGTGTAATTGCATCGAAATCATGTGGATACTCTCGAGGCTCGATTCCGGTTGCAGAAGATTCGCTTGCCATCTTGAAAGGTGTATGAAGTGAAAGGAAGATTTGTAATCTTTGACTTTGAAATGTATTTGTTTATGAGTTTGGAATGCTCTGGAGAAGCAAGAGTGAATGGGTGCAAGTGAGGTATTTATGTGTTTTCTACTCGTCAATCTGTCGATCGTCTATTTCATGCTCAGCTTTGAGGTTGAACTAGCCGTGAGAATTTTCTGCAGTGACATCTCCTTTGAGGTTAAACTAACCGTGAGATCTTTCTGTAGCGATATCTCGTTCTGATGCAGTTTAAACACATGATTGTACTTAATTCGACTCGAAGCAATCAGCTCAATGCAGAGTTGTGATGTTTTCCAAGCTTGCAACTAGGGATGCACACCAGTATACTACTCGGCGTCTTTGGGTATTTACCCTACTCTATAGCCGGGTAAAAAGCGGAAAATATGGTGGGCACTTGAGAGATCTGAAGTATATGTTATACAGTTATCCTATAGTTTTTATCTAAGAATAAGATTACATCCAATTCTTAAATTGATTGAGGTGTTATCACAGTGAAATAATCTAATAACATATAACTGATTACATGAAATTTTATTTTCTCATTAAGACTCTTCGATCTTATGAGTATTATATAATCGTACTTGAGGATATACTCGTACTTAAGTAACTACCCAGCGATATTTTATAGAATATTTGTGTCACCCTATGATATGTGACAGGGTGGATATCCATCCGAATACCCGAAAACCCAGGGAGCCCGGATGATCTAACCCCGGTGCGCATCCCTGCTTGCAACAGGATTTTCTAGATTTGTTACTTTTCGACCATGTTCCATTTCACTAAAATGGGTGGAGTCTAATTCTGATTGCAATCACTTTGAAATCGGTTGTGAAGCACTAAGCCATTTTCATAATTATTTTACTTCATGTTACATGCCACATAGCACTGTCAATCACACCTACCGATGTCATATCGCATATTGAATGGTGTCTATGACTCGTACCAGTCCCTATGAGACATAATGTTATTAATGATAGCAGAAAAAATTACTTTATGGGGAAATGAGCACATATCAGTGCAGCTAGTAAAGACTGCAAGACATCTTCAGCTCTCTCAAAACGCCCAGAATAGTAGTACAGTTTGCCTGTGATATTCTAGACGGCAAAAACCCTTCTGAAGATTCCACTGATAGATCTCAGATTGCCTGGATTAAATAGCCGTATTGCATCAAGGTAAATCTATACACTGCCCCATACTCATTTTTTTGGAGCAACTTTTGCTACAGATTCAAAGCTGATTTCATAGCTCTATAATCAATTGAAACTAGCATGCAAATGCTTGGATAAAGTCTCTCGAGTAAACAGTAATCTAGAGGACTCACTACAGATGCATTATAGACAACACTCATTTTGCGAACACCATGAACCCAAGACGACTGCGGAGTGATAACGTATTTATTCATAACACCGGGCTCATCTGGGCTGATCTGATGTTGGGCTTTAAATATGAGAAGCACAATTACAAGTGCGTATCGACTAAATGCCATGCACTTAAAACAACCGCCCTATATAGATAATCTACTTTCAATGGGTCGAGTGCACAACAGGATGCTGCACAGAGCAGATTTATGCAATTTTGTTTCGCCTGTTCCATTTATCCATCACACAAATGCATTCTCTGGGTTTTAATGATAACAACATGCCGAACTATACTGACTTTGGGTAGCACAGAAGCGGGGATGCAACTTGCAACAAAGGTTACACGGCATGTGGCAAACCACGGTTGTGCATTTGCGGACTGAACACAAGGCACGGAAACGAATTACACCAATTGCAAAGGCATCTACCTAGCATACAATGATATGAACGACGTCGAGCGACTAATGTGAAGAATAACTTTTACCTTACCGACAATCGTAGTATATGGTTGTGTAAATGCTACAGGAAAACTGGGAAACTGGGAAATACCAAGAACCTAACAAGGGACATAAAATACCGAGGAGAGTCTGAGGGAAGAGAACATATCGTTACTTATAGCCATCCAAAATGAAAGCTCCTGAATAATCACCACAGCTCAACGCAGTCCGAAGTGAATGAGAGGTTCCAGCTAGCGATAACATAACAAGCCGCCTATTCTTTGGCTTAGACGACAATCTTATGGTCTCGGGCTATATGACCCTCAAAATGTATTGAGTTGTTGAGAAGCAAAGGCTCAGTAGGGCGCTTGACTATTTTCAGTTGTAGCCAGCAATTCCGGCGCAGGTAAGTCTTCGGAAATTGGTTTTTGGAGGTATTCTATCTTCTAATCTTCCCTCATAGTTTTCATACCCTGGCCTCGAAGACATATTGCGAAAGAAGAGCTCGGTGAAAAGGTATTCATTGGCGTGGGAATATCGTCTGATCGTGGGTGGAGATATGGCAGACAATACAAACAACTTGCAAGGAATGGTTCGAACCAGGAAGTTTGTGTTGACGCAAACGCTTATGGCGCTGCAGATAAAAGAAACAACGTGGAAGATAGTCCCACAATTTAAGCTTATTCTCACCTCCTTTGAAATTCCGTAGACAAAACTTTACAATGAAAACACTGTTGCCTTCCTAGCATTATCATACCATCCTGCCAACCTCGTAGTATATATCGCCATTGCACTTGCGCTTGCACTTGCACACTGCGTTTTACAGTTAATGGATTAAAAAATTAAAATTCGGTTTGTTTCAACATGATGTCTTGTGAAGGAATCTAACATGAATCTTTTAAACTGTCACTCCCAAAAACATGGCAGAAACATGTGATGATTCATACTTGTCACTCATATAATCACGGTGACTCTATCCAAACTCACTCCTTGGTGATTGATCTGTCACGATGTGACGAAGACTGAACACCGGGCCATACATCTGATCATTCCGGTAAGGTTAGACCCTAATTATAGTTTATGTGGTTCTCCGACGGGTGATCCCCTGATATGAAGTATGAATGGCGAAATAGAAAATAAAGAGAATTAGACATTGTATCTTTAAGTCGTGGGTTTGATGGAAATCAAAACGCACAACTAGAATTTGCGTTGAATGGGTTTCAAGCCCGCATCCTGAATCAATCAGTATATCAAGATTTGGTGTGAAGTACCTACGTAGATAGAAGAGAAAGGGGATGGAGAAAAGATTCGGTGGGCTTATCGCAATTGCCCGCCTCTTTATCAAGGCCAGGGTAGCAATCATTCCAGAGCAAACGCTGCTTTAAGACAATGGGCATTAGACATTTTTAGATACGAGTATATCTTCATAGACAACGTCGATGATACCGGTATATCTGTTTGTCGTCGATTTATTGAGAGAGGGAGGGCGGATTAAGTCAAGTTTGTTCGCTACTCACCCATAACGTCAAGAACTTTGATTAGTTTGTACTCACTTCCACTCACCAGGCTTCAACCACACCACGTGAGATCCAAGAATACTTAAAGTGCCATGTTCTCTACTGATGATAAGCTCATGATTCAATGTCTCACTCAGCACCAACCAATCTATATAATTCAGTCTCATCAAAATCGATGATAACAAGTATTGCTTTATTGTTGGAGGAAGTCAAGGTAACATCTGACCCTAAAAGGGGGATATACAGCCACCGATATTGTCCACATACACCGTTCACTGCTCTTATTACATAAGGTTGACCATTTTATCACACTTTCCACTCTCGTTCTTGTACCACATGTTAAAAATATATCCTCATAAGACACCCGCTATCAATTGTACATCAAATCCACTCTCTTGCAGTTCTCGGATACATCTAATCTTTCGCATACGCTCCCGCTTGTGCTCGGGAAAGAATCTAGCCCACTCTGGTACATGTATAGCACCCATCTAATAAAGTGCCTCGCCAACCTTGGATACTTATCTCTCCACCTGCAATACCAAACGTCAAGAACAAAGGCAACAAAGCATTCACTCCTTTTCCCGGCTCTAGTTTCCAGATTCCAACCCCTCCAAGAAGCGGTCTCCATCTCCACAACCCCTATTACTGTCGATAGAAAACTATTACGATATATTTGATGATTTTCAAAGATATTGAATAATAAATATTCATTTCTCAACAAAATCGACTTGAAACATATACCGAACATCTGACCGTATTGACTTTCTCGTGCCTATCTTATGAACCCTGACCCCCGCCCGGTGTTGATCAGCTCAGCCATCATATCATATCACATCACCATTATCAACCTCATTCCTCGCCATGCCAACATTACAACCTTCTAATCAACATTCACGACACGCAGACGCAGTTAGGAATCAGCAAAATAGGAACAACATGGCGAGATCAAATGCTGTATCAGATCGATTGCGCAGTGAAGGTATTTCGACTTTAATTAATTTCAGTTTCTCCATTTCCCCATATCCTCTCCACAAATCTAATCTAATCTCGTATCTAATCTGGTAAAACAGCAGAATCGTGGGTCGAAATATCCTCACAACCATCTTCGTCCTCTATTTCCTCCATCGATAACGAAATTGTAACGACCGGTCTCCGCGTATCTCAACATCCTACCACTCGGCGACGCAGACGATCTCATAATCAACAACGCCCCCCAATAATCACAAATGGCAACAGACAAAGAAGCACGAGTAGTCAAGAGGAATATGAAGAATCGGAATCGGAACCAGATCATATAGATATCATAACCAGTTCCAATGAAATTTCTCCACCAGACGCCGTTCCAGCACGATTAACGACTCACGCAACATATGATGCAGAATTCGAAGATGATGAAGATGAGAATGGTACAGCTTTAGGAATAGGAAGAGGGACAACATTACCATTCACACCCCAGCCGAATGCTTTCTCTCATCCTCCTTCTTCACAATCCCAGAGTCATCGAACCCAAGCTCCTGCTCATGGCTCATATTTCCCCCGACAAGTTCATTCACAACCTCGACCACAACCTTATCCATCGCGTAACCACGCAACTTCACGGAATACGTCGTTCAACAATCACACACGACTCCCTATAGATCATGATGCCGCTCTACGCGCTAGTCTCACAACATTACTCTCTTGTGCAGCTGCGGCAAGAGGTCTTCCCAAGTCTCCCGCTCAAAACGCCACCAGTAATGAACCAATGGGACTCCGAATAGTTCCTGAATCAGAACTCATTGGTACGGCACCTCCTACGACAGCCAATATATCACGACCCTTATCATCAAGTCGTTCAAGGAGTGGATCATCACAAGACTCGCAAGATGAAGCCATCAAACGCAAAGCTAGTCAAACAAAACAAAACACTCGAGCTCTCAAGAAGAAGAAGGGAGAACTGGTGCAAGGCGAGGAGGCGTTTATTTCGCCTACCCTACTGACTTGGGTTATGAGTGCAGGCGTAGTCGTTCTCGTCTCAGTAGTTGGATTTGGTGCAGGATACGTCATTGGTCGAGAAGTGGGAAGGCAAGAAGCATCGGTCCTCGGGGGATGGAATGGCTCTATGAGTGATGGTAGCTGCGGAAGAGAAGTGGTTAGAAGCGGGACTGGCGGATTGAAGAGATTCAAATGGGGTGGCAGTGTTGCTAGGAGTATTGTTGCTTGAAGTCGTACACGATAATTTACGAGCGTTTGAGCTTGATTTAGGCTGAATTTTAGGTGGTCATTTTGATGAGATATCACGAGCGTGTTTTATTGATAGGGTCTAATTACCAAGCGTAACTCTTTGGAGACCCTTTGGCGTTGGTCCACGGGCATTGGGCTACATAGGTATACTTTTCATATTCACATAACATTCTGGAGGTGTTCTGTTTGTTTCGATGCGTACTTTTGTTTAATAAACATCTAGCGGGAGGGTATGATATGATATGACATGCACATATGATTAGGGGAGGAGGGTGGATTGAGAAGATAAAATTGAGATTTGGGTCTGGGTTAATGGATTAGGATAAATGAATTAAGATATTTCTCGAGGAACGTGCTTTGATTTCTTGCTATTGTGGAAGTGAACATATTCATACTCAAATCTGCGCCCTTGAATCATTATGCAGTGTTAATTTGTATGATAGAAACCAAATGATAGTTTTCGGGCCCAAAAATTGGTTTCTAGTTGAACAAAGTATGAGTGTGCGGGTGTTCCCACCAAGGTAATCAGCGCTCGGGGGGGAGAGAAAGTGTTTATGACAATTCAACGAATGAATTGAAATCTGGAGCGAGGTGGGATAGGTAATTTATGATAATTGAGGTCATCTATGCAGTCTATGGAGCTGGAGTGAATAAAGATTCATGTACCATGTACAGGCAAGACGTTAATTTTCATTATGTTAGAACATACATTCGAGCTAAAATTCCAGTAAAATAAATCAATACATTAGTTTCGCATATTCGATAGTATTCTAGTTATGAATATTTGAACCTGGGGCCAACAACTCGTGTCTCAATGTCAGTGAAAATGGAAAAGGTTAATAGAAGGAGAGGGTCCTGGGGAATAGCTCGTGTATATAACACTGTCACGCGACGGAAGCGATGGAAGTGATGTAGGTAATACAAGCTAATTAGTACTCACGCACCAAACGACGGATTTGACTAGCACTATTTTGATTAAGCTATAAATATCTCAGATCATCAGTTAGAGTAATTCAGCATGTATTTTATAATCTCATGAGTATCATAATTCTACATAGTTCTCCAGTTTCGCTTAACTGACATTACTCTGACTTGCAGATGCTACTAGCATCGTTTACGATGAGTCCAGAATAAAAAGTGATTGCAAGTCGCTATAAAGAATGGCAGTCTTCTGTAGCTTTCGTTCTTCAACGATATCACCCACCCCAGCCCCCAGTCCACTTTCACCATACTAAATTAAACACCAAAGCTTCTTAGGATTTGAACGGAGACTGAAGCAGCGAGAACAGCTACGACAGAGATGGATAAAGCATTAGCGACCACCAGGCATTGGTTGGGACATGATTCTCTGCCTAGGGCTCCCTGGTTGCGGGGATTTCCAACGTGATGGAAATCCGAAAAGAAGCCTTGAGGAATCAATTCATGAAACGCAAAAATGAAGTTAAGAAAATGGAGAGCTTCAGCAAATCAAATTGTCTATTATGAAGGATGCATTTCTCACAATACACCCGCGTTGTATCAGAGAACTGGTAAGGCTTCGCAATCGCTTTTGTCTTTTCCATGGAGTTCATGGTTCTTTTTTCATGTCCTTAGAGTTAGAATTCTTGAACGCGCCGTGAATTGGATTAATATGTGCGCAGCATTCATTCGCTCGAAGTGTACGCAAAAGACCGATTTTCAGACAGTGACAAGGTCTCAAGGACATCGAGTCCTTTTATATTCCAAGTCGAGTATATGGTCATCGATTTCGAAAATAAGCCGTAAAATCTGCATCAAACGGGCAGCATTAATGGTAAACGACATTCATTATACGGTACTGTCAATCAACTTGATTATATTTCCACTCGGAAATGGCAATCCCCTCGCGCTCAAGCTTCTTATAATTCTGAAGAGATAACATCATCATTCAATGAACTGAAAGGTAACATTATAGTCTTCATAATTAAGGGATATTCCATACCAGTGAATTTGGAGCTTGACTGATGACTGGGTTGAAGTTGAGTCCTTAAGCTTGTCTTGTGAAAGTCAGGCTTTACATCAGCGAAATAACAGGTGGGAATTGATTAACATTCGAAAGAACTTCAACAATTCGAATCTCTTTTTCATACAATATTAAAACTAAAAGATTCTAATCATCGATATAAAGAAGGCTGAGATTTATATAGAGTTTTTTTTTAGGGTTTAATATTTATTAAAATTCGATAAATAAATGATATTGAGATAGGTTCAAAAAGGTCAATTTCCGCCTGTTTTTTCGCTTACGTAGAGTCAGGTACATGCTTCCGGGGGATTTGTTCTTCCGTCTTCCGATCCCCAGTTTCTTCCCCATGAACAAACATTAACTTCCATCTCCACATTTACTAATTGTCCCCTTTGAATTTCAATTGACTCAATTACTTCAAAAATGTCTATTCAAAAGAGAGCCCCTCTTGGTCGCGTTCTTGTGATCGGCGGCTGCGGTTTTCTAGGCCACCACATTGTATCCCTCCTCCATGATCGATACAATTGCACAATCTCCGTTCTTGACCTACGTACAAATCGAAATCGACATTCATCAGGAGAGGTTACCTACCATGATGGCGATATAACCTCTATCGAATCTCTTCTCTCAATATTCAACTCCATCAAGCCAGACGTCGTTATTCACACAGCATCGCCTGTCGCAATTACTGGAACAAGAGAATTATTCCACAAAGTCAATGTAGAAGGAACGAAGTGTGTAGTTGAGGCGTGTCAAAAGACTGGAGTGAAAGCTTTAGTTTTTACAAGCAGTGCCAGTATCATCTCAGATAACACAACCGATTTGGTTAATGCAGATGAGAGGTGGCCCGTCATACCCGAGAAATTACAACGCGAATATTATTCATGGACGAAGGTATGGTCTCTCAATTCCTCCCATTTCTTTACCCAGCTGTGCCAATTTTACTCTCAAATTCCCATACTAATATAATGGCACGAACAGGCCGAAGCAGAGGCTATAGTTTTAGCCGCAAACCGCGCACCAGAATCTCCCCAACTCCTGACCGCCTCCATTCGTCCCTCTGGCATCTTCGGTCCTGGAGACGTTCAATTAATACCCGGCCTCCTTAATGTTCACTACACCAATCGCACTGGTTTTCAACTAGGCGATAATACCAACCTCTTCGATTTTACATTTGTCAAAAATGTTGCACACGCGCATCTCCTTGCCGCCGCTGCCTTACTAGCAACTGCTAAGCTCAACACAACTCCATTAGATATTGAGCGCGTAGATGGTGAAGCATTTTTCATCACCAATGGATCACCCGTTCCGTTCTGGGATATGGCACGAGCAGTATGGGCAGCCGCGGGATCCACAAAGGGAACAGAACATGTGTGGGTTATTGGAAAGGACTTTGGATTAGGATTAGCAGGATTTGTGGAGGGACTATTTTGGATTGTTGGAAAGACACCAAATCTAACAAAAATGAAGGTTCAGTTCAGTTGTATGACAAGATACTACAGCATTGATAAGGCGAGGAGAAGGTTAGGGTACCAACCATTGGTTCCGCTAGATGAGGGTATCAAGATTACGGTGAAGCATTTTGAGGAAGAAAGGGCGAAAGAAGGAGAGAAAAAGAGCCAATGAGGTATTGAAGTGCTGGCAGATTCATTTATACTCCAGACATTTTGGGCATGTATTCTCACATAATAACTCTAATATTACAACTTGTAATTATTTGAAAAGCTTAATCAAGACCGAGAGATACCCTCAGTCATCTTTCTTAGTTGTCATAGACCATAATTCACATCGATATCATATCTCTGGCGCTGATGCTAAACTAAACTAAATGTCTTGCTATTGGTGCTCTACTGGGATTCAAAAAATAACATATCCTACAGACTCCCCAACTCAAGATGACTCTGCAGGCATACACGAGACATGCGATCGCAAGTCCGTATGCTGGCTGATTTGATCAAATCATGTACCGCTAACAAAATCAGAAGACAATTTTCAAATGTCTGGACTTGAGTGAAGCTTAAGAGCGTATTGTGCAATATCGGGTTAATAGAATCAGGTAGCAATGTATACACATGGTGGACATGAAGAGTAAAAGCAAGCTTAAGAGGGAAGATAGTGACAGCGGACGAAGTTCTACGTATGGTGCAATATTTGGAAATCGAGGATTTCATATTGAATTCTACGCCAGACATACTAGGCTAGGTAAGATTACTAGGTAGGTCATCTGACATTGATCATGATTGTTGAGACTTACAAGTAAATATACATCACTCGAGTCACAAACCACATTCTGAATTATGAATTACTAGTGAAACTTCATGGGATGATTGAGAATCTGCGTATACAAAGGTACCTAGGTTAGGTAGGTAGTAAAAGAAAAGTATCTATGTATACCACGGTATCTGTATGTACAAAAAGATCCCTCAACCCGGACTGGACGTACCCCCTCGCTAAACCCCACCGCAATACTGATCGTTATTCTCCTCTCATTTCCAGCGCAACCCCCTTCCTCACTATTCGCACAATAGTGTGGTCTTACCGCCTGGTTTTCATGTAACTCGTTAAGCAGCATTAGCTAGCACGTCGACCATACTCCCAGATCATCGGCGAGTATTCTCCTGTCTGTGATCTATCTGGTACCTACCTTTTGACTGTGTTGCTTTACACTTCCACTCTCTAAGTTTCTCCGATAGTTTTGCAATCTCTGGCGCGGTATCAGACTCATAATTCTGATTATAGTTATATGACTATAAATCCGATTGGATCTTTGACAGTTCTATCTCCCTTAATCTGTAAGCTGTGACACATGTTTCGAAATGTTTTCAGGTCCTTTTCCTATCACGCTGTGGATGTCTTGATTTAGATTGTCTATGAGCATGAACGATGATGTCAACAAGGATATTTTTACAGAGTGAAGAAGATAGGAAGGGCTCAATAGAAATCAGCTAGAGAGATTGAATCTTGGAGTTCGTGGAATGAATCGAGAGGGATGACTTGCTGATACAATGGTCAATAAATTTTGGAAGACTAAATATGCAGCAGAAACGTAGCATTGGATGAATTGTACTGCTTGAAGCATCGATATGATCGTTGATCAAATCTTGGTTTTCATGAGACTGTGCAAAATGACTTGATAACCGCACGGCCAAATCGTGAACTTGTGCATATGGACGGAGAAAAATATTCCTAGTTTGAGGGAAGTTGGGCGGATGTTTCATGGTTTATCTGTGCTACCTCCCTTGGTGTTTTGGTTCACTGGGGTATTTGGATGGAATTGTCTGGTATGTCAAGGAGAGACCTCTCTAGTTTCTTCCTTCCGATAGGCTTCGAGATGTGCTAGCACAATATCTTAGGAGGAGAGTCTCAAACTATACCACTGGTACTTAAAGATTGAGGAGATTATCATTGTTTCTTGAACTGAAACCCAGAGAATGGACAAGAAGCTGGGGCTTCCTTCATTTTCTCATCCTCGAGGGGCGTCTTTTCGCCACTCCCTTCGTCTTCAACATCCGACTTATCCTCTCCATCAATGACTTTCTTCCCCTTCAACCAGCCCTCCCTCTCCACCATCACCTCCTCCATCTCCTCGGCAAACTCATCACCATCTCTCACATACCATTTTGCAAAAAGATCGTTTTGAATCCACAACACTTTCCCAATCGCTTTCACAATCGCTATCTTTTTCTCCATCCTCAATTTCGGGTGCGAGAGGACCGCCTCAAAAATAATATCCTGCACAAAACCCAAGCAAACTCCTATGTGTACATATTCCACATGAAGAGGATGTTTTCGACCACGTCCTACGTGCATCATCCCGACTTTGTCGAGGTACTCCCAGAATTCCATTTGGCTTGGATCCGAACAGAGTTTCTGGAGATAGCCTCTCAGAAACTAGGAAGCATGTCAGCCTAATCGACAAACTGCATGGTAATACAGGTCTACAAACCATCTTCCTGTGTAAGATTTGAGGACTATTCTCATCCGGCAGTTCGTCTAGCGGACCCTCATAGCTTGTGCTGCGAGAGGTAAAAGCTCGTGATGTAATGTCATATTGAAGAAGTTTTCTGTATACGATGTTCACGACGGCTGGTATGAGTTGTTTGATGTATTTTGAGCCATAAATGAGGGCCTCTATGTCTCCTATTTCGAAAGTTTGAGCAGATTTCAAGAGGAATGGAGTGTTGTGTACTCACGTGAACTGAAGTCAAGAAAAGAGTGTAGATAATGAATTCGTGTTTCTAGATCTGTATAAAGCTCCTTTCGATCTATGTGTAGTCTAGATCTTGAATCCATGATTATGTGTCGTAAAATGTGTGTGGACGTGGAATTAAATAGCAATCATGAACATACTAGGTATATGAGACTAGATAGTTTGAGAAATACAGACATTTTGGGTAGACATGAAGTTCATATACACTCCAGACTAATCACGTAGGATGATGAATATCAGCCCATCGGAGCATTGCGATTTCAAAATAATTGAAGACTTGAGTATTGAGCATTATGATGGCAGTCAATTATCTCGCTATGTTGTCAGAGTGGTTCGTTTTTTGCTTTGGATCAGATCATGTTGGGGTGATGTGATCCTTGGGTAGAAATTCACGTGATACAACTGTATATTACCAGCCAATTGCAATGATTAGTTACCAACTCACCTCAGTTCATCCGCTTTCCTTAACCACATCTTCTTCCTCTCTTTCAAATATGGGTTTTCCGTTTGGTCGATTTGGCGACATCATGGAAATCGATTGGAGGGTGAGGTTATAAGCTCAATGTCATGAGTGATAAAGTCACGTTGGGATCAGAGCTTTTGGCAAGACAAGATGACACTCAGAAATGAAACCGACGAGGGTTCAAAGTCCAACTTCCACCGTTCGATGCCATATCTCAGATATGATCTTCTCTCATTAGAACCTGGAGCGTGACCTCGGAGGGATTTATGTCTTGGGCTTCGTATTCAGAACCTTATAGGGACCTCCCGCTCCCCAGAACTTTGCGCAGCTCGCAATATAATCATGCATACTTCTAGATGCTGTACCTCATAATACAATATATGAACACAGCCTAGGTAGCGTTACTTATGTATCTACTGTAAGCACAAAATCAACAGAGTACACTACCAAACTATCGGTATACTTCGGCGAACACAGCGCTTCTACATTTGATGATATCCAATGAGAGTCACCCTTACATTTTGAAAATCATGGGACTGAAACGCGGAGTAAGAAATAGTTGCTGCGCTTCTGTGCCGGGATGCGGTTATATATGTAATTAGAGGGGTAGGTGTCATGGGTATCCATGGATGCATTTTTTGTATTTTCTATATCTCGATTAGGTAGTCATAAAGATGCGCGGAGTATGATGGATTGCATTGGTAAGATTGAGTGCTGTGCTTATTTTGATGAGGGGAAGATGCGTCTATTCTATGAATTGATTTCGTTTATATTTCATATTGGCTTTCGTTAGTTTGTGTACTCGGATGGGTATCTAGAAGTGCGATATCTGGTTGTAAATATGAGGCAAGCAGTGGAATTCCATACGAAAGTAAGCTATCTGCCACAAATTGGACTGCCCGGTGTTCCCAGGTCCACGTTACATCAGAGGCTGAGATATATTGTGCCACATTACCTACCAAGGAACATTTTAAAAAGGGGGGACTGAGCCAATATTATTTTGGGGAAAATTCCACAGCCAATCATTTTCTCGTGCATTAAGCGCCATGGTTACTCGATGTAGACTAGCTGTACCTGAATCTGGCGATTATGTCCGCTCAGCCATTTTTTTCTGAGCGCGGGGGATCTCTTCCGATTGAACATGCTCCCATCGACTGAGGGTTGATCAATTTTCGGGCTGTGCTCTTATTCAATTCAACGGCAGATATCCAAATCGATGACAGGAAGTTAGACGTGGTTAGGTTATCCATTACCCTTGATCACATCAATACTCTTCCCTCTAGAGATCCATCGGCAACTGTTTGATGAATGTCGGATAAATTTGTATTTATTACGGCACTGCATATGCAGGATATCCAATGGCCACCCATGTAAGAATCTGTAGAGTAGCATCGAGGCAAGAACTCTCAACATGGGATATCAAAAAGTCAGTAGTGGCACAATGCTGTGCTGTGCCATGCCAACGACCTACCGAGAGACCTTTTACCCAGGTATATATTAGATATTTGTCTCATGAGCCATAATCATAGCCTGACTCGGCCTTGGATTTTTCCTCATTTTTATTTACATACCTACCTAGGTATTTACAATTAGAAAATTCTTCCATCATTTTGCTGAATTTTATTGTTGGTCCAAGGTTTGGTCTTTGGTCCATAGAGGCGTCTGACTCAATATATTCATATCACGTTATATCTAGGACTCATTATATTTTACATTTGAACCATACCTAGGTACTCATACCTACTCCGCATGCTTTGGTTATTGGAGATTCACTTTTGAGGAGATTGAAAGAACAGGAAAAGTCCTGGAGAAGCACTGCCTGATTTGATCGATCAATCAAGGTCGGTTAGTACATGATTTCTCAATTCACCTTTCTATTCATTCAATTTTGATATCATCAGTCATATCGGTTCAACTCAACACACAAATATTTTGGAAAAGTCATCCATGTAG